AAGGCTATCTGGCAAATGCCTTATGAACAAGACTGTCCAGTTTTACTGGTTGACTGAGAATTTGGCGTCCCTTAAAGCAGCCACAGTGCTCGACGACTAGTAAATTTCTGGAATTTAGAAAATGTACTAGCATACTGTTAACAATTCGTTCCATGAATTTGCATAAGCAAACTGTCATCGCAGTTGGGTTGTATTTGTGCTTGTTATGTGTGTGTGTGTGTGTGTGTGTGTGTGTGTGTGTGTGTGTGTGTGTGTGTGTGTGTGTGTGTGTGTGTGTGTGTGTGTGTGTGTGTGTGTGCGTGCTTGTGTGTGTGTGCAAATATTTGCGTGTGTTCTCAGCGCCAATCTTTTCTGTGCGCAGCCTCCTCTTCGGAAACATCTTCGTGTACTACATGTTCATGGGGAAGGACACCATCGACAGCGGAACGCGCCTCGTGGTGTTCGCGGCGCTGACGGGGGTGGCGCTGGTCGGCCTGGCGATCCTGCTGGCGCTGCCCAAGCCCGGCGCCGACGGGAGCGGCCGCCAGGACGACATGGGAGGGCCGCTCAACGCCCTCAAGAAATCCTTCGAGCTCTTCAAGACGCGAGACATGCTCCTGCTGTCGGTGACTTTCTTCTACACGGGTGAGGATGTTCTGTTTGTCAATAAAGGTATTACTGAGATAGGATAAACGTGCTTTTATGCATCCATATTGGTAACGCTGTTGCGATCAGAACCACGAAATAAATAATACGCCATTGATATTCGTCCGGCACCGGATCTCATCACATTTTGGCTATTCGTCCGGCATGCATGCGTATTAATTATTTGCGCACGAACACACTCTCGCGCTTGCGCGAGAGTGGCGCCATTTTTTTTTTTTTAAGCCGGGCCATAGCCCGGGCGAAGCTAGAACTTCGCAAATCGCAATGTATGTATGCCATTTTTTATGGTTGTGATTTTTGTGTAGGATACTTGCACAAACACTAAACTTAACAGTCTTGTAACTACAGTATGCTGATCTGCTATGTTGATGTTTATCATTTTTAAGCACATTCAAACAAGATTGTCCAGCAGATATAAGACCTGACCTAACCTAACAACCTAACCTAACCTATCCACCTAACCTAACCTATCCTAACCACCTAACCTAACCTAACCTAACCACCCAACTTAACTTAACCTAATCTACCTAACCTAACCTAACCACCTAACCTAACCTACCTAACCTAACCACCTAAACTAACCTAACCTAACCACCTAACCTAACCTAACCACCTATCTTAACCTAACCTAATCTACCTAACCTAACCACCTAACCTAACCTAACCACCTAACTTAACCTAACCTAATCTACCTAACCTAACCTAACCACCTAACCTAACCTAACCTAACCACCTAACCTAACCTAACCTAACCTAACCACCTAACCCAACCCAACTTAACCTAACCTAATCTACCTAACCTAACCTAACCACCTAACCTAACCTAACCACCTAACCTAACCACCTAACCTAACCTAACCACCTAGCCTAACCTAACCACCTAACATAACCACCTAACCTAACCTAACCACCTAACCCAACCTAACCTAACCACCTAACCTAACAACCCAACCCAACTTAACCTAACCTAATCTACCTAACCTAACCTACCTAACCTAACCACCTAAACTAACCTAACCTACCTAACCTAACCTAACCACCTAACCTAACCTAACCACCTAAACTAACCTAACCTACCTAACATAACATAACCACCTAACCTAACCTAACCACCTAACCTAACCTAACCACCTAACCTAACCTAACCACCTAACCTAACCTAACCACCTAACCTAACCTAACCACCTAACCTAACCTAACCACCTAACCTAACCTAACCACCTAACCTAACCTAACCACCTAACCTAACCTAACCACCTAACTTAACCTAACCACCTAACCTAACCTAACCTAACCTGCCTAACCTAACCTAACCACCTAACCTAACCTAACCACCTAACCTAACCTAACCTAATCTACCTAACCTAACCTAACCTAACCACCTAACATAACCACCTAACCTAACCTAACCTAACCACCTAACCTAACCTAACCACCTAAACTAACCTAACCTACCTAACCTAACCACCTAAACTAACCTAACCTACCTAACCTAACCACCTAAACTAACCTAACCTAACCTAACCACCTAACCTAACCTAACCACCTAACCTAACCTAACCACCTAAACTAACCTAACCTAACCACCTAACCTAACCTAACCACCTAAACTAACCTAACCTACCTAACCTAACCACCTAACCCAATCTAACCTAACCACCTAACCCAACCTAACCTAACCACCTAACCTAACAACCCAACCCAACCCTCTGCTATCACCCTCTATCTATCTCTGCTATTTATTCTCCACACGGGGACCTCTAAAAACAAACAAATTTGCCGAATCATGACAAGCTGGAGATTTTCAATAAAATGGCAAACAAAAATTGCATCCTGTAATATTGCTGGGAAAATA